CACGGATATGTTAAGGGTCAGCCCAGCTGTGTGGATGTGGTCTCAAGCTCTGAATTAGTGGTCAGAGTTAATAAGGTTCTACTGCCTTATAACTGGTCTTCCTTGTGAAACTGTAAAACACAATCCTACTTCTCTTAATGGGTGGTCAGTGTAATTTATGGTCTATCACTTAAATGGTTTCATCCAGAAAGTCAAGTTGACTTTCTAAGTGTTTCCTTTTACAGAATGCCCAAGGTCAGGTCGTTGCCAAATCATGGATTTTTGGAGGAAGAAGCAGCTGCTAGGAGAATTGAGTATTATGAGGGAATATCAGTGAAGAGGTGAGAAAAATCTCAAAAGGATTAAGTATTTTGGGGCAGAATGGAAGAAATCCGGGGCTTAACATGTTCCAGGAAGCAAGGAATGCTTGTCCTAGGCAGAACGGAGCTGTCTCAGCAGAGTGGGTCAATGGGTGTATTTCTGAGTGTACTTGAGGTGCGTACTCCAGAACCCAGGGCAGTGGGATATGACAAGCCCCCTTTTCTAATATGAGAGTGAAGAAAGTGCAGCTTTCTCTGAAGGCTTTTGGACATATGTTCAGTAGTCCTCTAGGGAGGCACCATTCTTTCCTTTGGGACAGGCAGGATGGAATGAAAATTTTATGAACTGGAAATTAAACAAGTAAATGGTAAGTACAACCAGATGTTGGTCGGCTAGGGTAAAGGAGAATTGTCCAAATTTAAGAATTCAAGCACACACACACACACACACACACACACACACACACACACATATATATATCTAGGTTAGAAATAAATGCTAGATTAACCATCCTGCCAAAATAAGTCAGTGCTGTTTATTCTCTTAATTATATGTGCATGTTAAATATCAGATTCCCGTATGTTAAGTCAGTTCTTGTTTTCAGTTAAAACTCCTCAAAGGTCCTTTGAAAAAGTCTCATGGAATTCTTTAATTAAAGAGTGAAGGTCCAAGAATAAACTTCTTCTATAGATTTGCTTGTAGACATTTTCACTGTAGGGTTATTTCTAGTCCTGATGAAATAACTGTTTTCCTCACTGAGTCAGACAAAATTAAGCTCTGATTTGATCTCTAGCTCTGATTTGCTCCTAGCCATTCTAGGATCAAGGAGTGTTGACTTGAGAACTATAAGCATACCCATTGCTTCCACCCTGACAAATTAATAGGAAACTGACAAGGGTAATAACAGGAATGTATTCACACATAACCCTCCCTATGTGTTTAATTTTCAAGTCTTTGTTTTGTAATCAGAGAACAGTAAGATAATTTATATGAAACATCTGACAGTCTATGTTAAATCTTTTCACAAGCTGTAAAATTTGCACATTTTGGGCTCTTTGGTAGATTTCTTTCCTTTTTTTGTGATTAAATAATCACTTTTCCCACTGGGAAATCAGAGGCACTGGAAAATGTCATTAACAGATGACTGGCTTGTTGAATACATCACAGAGAATAAACTTTCATTATGATTTTGTGGACAAAATTTAAATGCTAAATTCAGAGAGCCATAAAAAGTAAAAACAGATTTGAAAAGAAATAATGCCATCAATCACAGAATTTTTCCTCTCACAGAAATTGAATTTATTGAAATAAAATGGTAAATAAAAATACTTTCTGGCTTGGGAAAACCAACCTAGTTTCTGATACTTTTCTGTTTCCCCTGCTCCAAAGTCGTTAATCTCTCTGTTTAGATGCTGTGCAGCCAGGTGTTCAGACTTATGGGGTAGGGGGAAAAATTAGTTTCTTACTGAATATGGAAAATTAACAACAAAAAATGTTGGTGTAGACAGTACTTAAAAATATGAAAGATGTAGACCTATTAAACTGAACCCTCTTTTTCCTCCCTCCGTCCCCCAGGAGTAATTCTGCTACAGGGCTGACTTCAAGGATGTGAATTGTTGACCTCATCACTCCATCAGAACCTCAGCTGTTATTTTAATTATTGCACCATTCCAGGCAAGTTGACTTTATTGGAAATAAAATTGAACCTTAGGGGTCTGATGGAAATTCACTGTGACATTCAAATAAAAAAAACTCGCTGAAACCCACAGAGCCTTTTCCCCATGGGCCCTGATGGTAGCCTCCAGAAGGTACAGGCTCTGGTGGTCCCTCTTCTTCTGTGGCAAAAATAAACTTTGGGTCTTGGATTGTAACACCACCTGTGGAGAAAATGGTATGCGAGGGAAAACGATCAGCCTCTTGCCCTTGTTTCTTCCTCCTGACCGCCAAGTTCTACTGGATCCTCACGATGATGCAAAGAACTCACAGCCAGGAGTATGCCCATTCCATACGAGTGGATGGGGACATCATTCTGGGGGGGCTCTTCCCAGTCCATGCAAAGGGAGAGAGAGGAGTGCCTTGTGGGGAGCTGAAGAAGGAGAAGGGGATCCACAGACTGGAGGCCATGCTTTATGCAATCGACCAGATTAATAAAGACCCTGATCTCCTCTCCAATATCACTCTGGGTGTCCGGATCCTTGACACGTGCTCAAGGGACACCTATGCTTTGGAGCAGTCACTAACGTTCGTGCAGGCCTTGATAGAGAAAGACGCTTCTGATGTGAAGTGTGCGAATGGAGATCCACCCATTTTCACCAAGCCCGACAAGATTTCTGGTGTCATAGGTGCTGCAGCCAGCTCTGTGTCCATCATGGTTGCTAACATTTTAAGACTTTTTAAGGTAGGTAAAGGCATTGTCTTTCTGACCATTGTGAAAAGGCAATAAATTGTTCTGACTCCAGCTGCAAGTTTAAGGAGAAGGTGAAGATGGTGAAGATGCTTATAGGCCCTCTCAGGGTCTCTAGGTTCTTCGAATAGAGGATTCTATGTCTGGGTTTCTACGTGTGTTGATTTAGTTCCATTTTTTACAGTTAATTGGGTTAATTGTGACTATCTTTTTTTCTGAACAAACAGAAAGGTGATGATATCTGTGATAACATTGAGTCCTCAACATCTTGGGATATTCTTTTTATTGAGGCTCATTTTAAATCAGGGCAAGTAGTTTTAGAGTATAATGAACCCTTAGCACATTTATCATATAAAACATTTCTATGGTGTTTGAGGTATAAGATAATATTACTTGGTGAAACTTCTTTAAAGTGAGATGCTCCATTATGACAAAAGTTCTTGTGTGAAGAAACAGTATTTATTACTAATTTGTAGATGGGAACTACACTCTGGGATATAAAATGCCCATAAAATTGTCTGGTTTGTTATGTTATAGCTACAGTAGAACAGAACCTCATTAATTCAGACTGCCCTGATGCAGATTTGAATAATTATATATAATTCTTATTGAGTTTAAAGATTAAGTTTAGCAGGATAATTCAAGACGTTAGGTTTTGATCTATTACCTATAGATTGTAGTTACATATTGAATAAAATTGGAAAATTAAAATAATACATGGAACAGTATTTTGACAAGTGTAGAGTCCCATAAAAACAAAGTTATTGTTAACTCACTGTATTTAACACTCTCCTTTTGTTTAATATCCATTATGTAGTCTTTTGTAGCAGACAATTTTTTAACTGAAAATACTTTTTGCTCTTACTTCTTACTCTGGGACATGACTTTTCCAACTTTTTCTGAATTAATGAGGTTTTGTCTTATATTGAAGAAACTGTTCCTATGCATATAGATATAAAAATATTTAAAGAATATGGAGAAGTTGGACAGGTGATAGATATAGTGACAAAAATTAACAAATTGATGGAGAACTTCATAGAAAAGATGAATCAAATCAAAGGCTTTCTGGTTTGGAAGATGTTTATGGGGACCATTCATATGCTGGAATCTTCTCTGTAACACCCCCCCCCACCCCAAAGTGGCTGTTCAGCTTCTCTATGAATTCCCTTAGTTTAGGGCTGAGAATGCTAAGGGGCACTTAATGACTGTTTTCAGATTGGTAAAATTTTCTCAGATGAGGATGCTGCTGAGCAGAAGCTCTCTTTGTTTTAGGAGTATTGAGGAGGGACAAACAGGCTTCAGGGAATGCCCAAGACATTTGGAAGGACATTAGGAAGATTCTCTTGGCAATAAGGACACAGAATTAAAATAGGCAGCCACAGGTGCTCTCATTCTCTACTCTGGGAACCTTCAAGGCAATCTAAACTCATTTCTCTTGGGCCAGTTGACTCCTTGCTTGGAGGCAAGATGCTGAACCAGGATTTTCCAGGTTCCTCCACACCTCCCACATCCTGGGATCTAGGATTTCTCCCAGGGGTCTCCATTCTGAGCCACATGGCATTTTCTGCTCTGGGGTCATGTCCATCTCCAGCCGTTTTCCTAATTCTTTTTCTCCTTTGTGACTTGATCTCTCTCTCCTTGCCTGTTCTAAAGCATCTCTTTTCTTTTCTTAACTTAGTGACTGTGGCTCAACAGCACCCATTTTTAGAGAAGAGGGGGACCTTTATGAGGATCTTTGTCCTCCCTTTACTGGCCTCCCCTTATATGCAAATTCTTGTTCCCATCCATCCTGTCCTAATTCCTGTGGATCCTGTCTCCTTCCTGTAGTCTGGTGCCAAGACAAATGTAGGCAGGGATTGGAGTAGGGTGGAGGAGATAATTGCTTATTTGAGGTTTTTAAAGCTTGTTTAAAGGGTTTATTATGTGGAAGCAAATGTATTTATTAACCAGCTACCAGGGTTTGAAAAATTTGTGTCCTTCAAAAGTATGTGAAAGGATATAGGTGTTCAGCCCATCTTCCTGCTGAACCTGTAACCACATGAATGTAAATTTGATAATTACAACATATCATTGTTGCGTTGCTTTAATTTACTTTGATGACTTATATGAGACCTTCAGCCAGCACTCCACATTGATTTTAATTATGATATGATGATCACTCTTGGGATAGAAAATGTTTCACTTTATATGTGAATAAATTCTGTTTAAACACATATGTTAGTACTGACATGAAATAGAATAGTTAGCAAAGGAATGATTAATGAATTAATACACTAGGGATGACTTACAATTCCATTTTGAAAAAAAAATAACTTGATTAAATTGAGTTCTATGACTTGAATAAAGGTGAACATAGGACATTTTTATGGAGCATGGGCCCCCCTAGAACTGTGTAAGACCCACAGACTCTAAAAAGATGCATGTATATCAATATATTGCTACTTATTCCTGGATTAGTGGGGTTAAAGAAGGTAGAACATCTTAGTTTGAAAATACACAATTACAGTTGACATAAAGGATGTAAACGTATTTTAATTAATAACTTACTGATTGTCTTGGGATTTTTAGAGTATAGCTGCGACCTGTTTAAAATTTTACAGAAAACATTTGTGCTAAAATTGGAAATAATCTCCATATGTCTCAGTTCTTGTTTTTTGGACAACCCTTGAAAAGCCTTGTCTTCACCTGCAGTATCTGCCTGGGCGAAGTGGTGAAGGACTCAAAGTCCTCCAGGCATCCCCATCTTCTTCTGCAGCCTTGTCCCTCTTAGGGCAGCTTCTCCCATCTTCTGTGTTCCTCTAGGTTCTAATTGGAGCCTCGTTTCAGGAAAGGAGCTGTGTGTTATCAGTCATCTGCATATAGTATGTCTGTGTTTAAGTCAGAGGAGGACTCTCTTTCTGCAGAATCACTAATTGTGGAACGAGATTATTTGTCTTTGTGAAGGGGATTCAGGCATTGGTGGGGGAGGTTTAGCCCACCTGCCAAGAGACTACACTTTGTGGGTGGCCATCTCCTCTGTCCTGGAGTACAGCTCATCTCTAGAGGGAAGGGGTGTCAATCCTATCTTTGTTTGTTTTCCTATCAAGCTCAGAGACAAATGAAAAAATTAGCCCCTTGAACTTCAGAGGAAAGTTGGACAGGGAGCTGGAGCTAGAAACCACAGAGTGGGGTTGGGAGGATAGAAGCTGCCCTGTGGCCTTGGGCCTTAGGACACTGAATGCTCTACTACACCACTGACTCTACCCCATAAGGTGGCTTTCATATTGTTCTCCTCATGCCCCAAGGGTGTGTGTTGGCTTACCAAAACTACCTCAGGGGCTTTACAAATGACAGGACTCAGAATGTGAATGTATGCCTGTCTACCCCCTCCATGGGAGGCATTTTTACTGTTTGAAGTGTCTCACACTTCTTAGAGTTTTGGGAGCAAAAAACCAGTCTGAGAGATCTGAACTTTTTAGAAGCACTACAGTGCCTTAAAATACACACGTCATATATACATTAACATGGGGCAGAGTAGTTACCTAGGTGACTGTTTAATCCCTATAGCAATCTAATGGTTTTAAATAGTAGTATCAGTTAGGATAATGTGACATGTAACAGCAGAACAGCCAACCTGAAATTGCTCCGTTGTACCTAAAGGTGAAAATACCACTTCAGTGGCTCCTGTATTACAGAGACCAATGAAAAGAGGGGCCTGGCTCTCAGAGATCCTCTAGTTTGAAAAGAATTAAAAAAGAATGAGGGTGCTTTTTGGAAATGTTGACTGGGAAGCCCATAATTTAAATTTGTTTTATAAAGCAATTTCAAGGAATTTGCATATGCTGAATAAAGAGCTCAGATTTTTTTCCTTTTCCAGAACATTTCCACCCCTTTCCTTTAAATTAGAGCAAATCTGTTCCTCAAAACACTAATCCTATGTCTTACTTTGAGCAAAGATTGAACATTTTAAGTTAAAAATAGCACATCAGTGCTTAGAGGTAATTACTCAATGCTTAATGTCCACACAGATGCATTGGAGTAATAAAAGGACAGCATCAGATAAACTTTCTCTCTCTTCTGTTTTTCTAGTTAACCTATAGAGTTAATTTTCTACTTTTGCAGGTTAGGGCTTAGATAGTCTGTAGTGTATATTTCCCAAAGTAATCAAATGAGATTTTAAAAAATAGAAATCCACTTGTGGGTGGGCTAGATAATTTCTTCCCATGTCTTGGTTATAAATGGCTAAAACTGACCTTCATGTTAAGTAAATGAAGTATGGCAAAGTATCCTATTACCCTGGAAGTCTTTGCCTACCTTGCTGTGGTTGTGAAGATATATTTTCTTCCAAGAGACTATTAATCATAGCAACCACTTCCATAAAGCCTAGTGTTTTGCAAGTTACTTATTGTATACAATGGACTTTATTAACTGTAAACTCTGAAAAGGTGAATCTGCCATATCCAGGCTCGTCTAGTTAGATGAACAGATACATGAGCCTGATCAATAAACTGTGTAAGAGTTAACATTTCATGTTAAATCTTATTTGGTGGCAACTAGATAATGGAAAATCAAAAAAGATTAACTCCTTCAGTCAATCTTTTGCTACAGTAGCAAGCTCTAATTTAACTTTGCAAAGAGCCTGCTCTCCTCAGATGAGATGGGTACTCTCATTTATAGTGTCCCTAAGTGGGGGTACTGGGAGAAATGGGCACTGTCTCTGGTCACTGGCACTTAAACTCACAGCCATGCACACACACACACACACACACACATATACACAGTGTGTGTGTGTGTGTGTGTGTGTATGTATATATGACCCCAGGATGAATGCCCATCTCTTCTTTGGTAGTCTTTTCTCATTTCTCTGGAAACTTGATTAAGTTTCTTTAACAAAGCTCCATGAGGGCAGGATGATATCCACCATGTACATGAGGGCATGTATATTTTGTTTATTGCTGTATTTCCAGCATACAGCATTGACCTGTCTGGGAACCAGTAAATGTTTGCTGAATGAATGAATGAACCATATCTCTCTAACTCTTCCATTTTTAAACCCCTCC